TAATAATCCCAACTATTGGCGGTCCGCTCATAATAATCCCAACTATTGATTATTACAGAATAATCCCAACTTTAGGGACCTTCCGCCAATAATGGTCCCTATGAATAAATTCTTGTAGTTTTTAAAGTGGATGAGATGAGATATAAGAAGTAATCCCTATAAATAATCTCAACTTTTAATTTTTACATTTAATTTCTATTTAAAATTCACTTTTTATAGAGGTAATATATGGTCATGGACCATTATTGACGGATAGTCGATATAGTTGGGATTATACAAAAATAATCAATAGTTGGGATTATTTTAAGCGGACCGGCAATAGTTGGGATTATTATTTTCAATTTTTCCTTTAAAGTATTTGATTAAAGTTTAAAAGAAGTATCTAATAATTCTAACATGGAGCTGAAAGTATAAGTTTCACCGTCTTATTTTGTTGATAAGCAAAATGGCCCAGAATTGGCTATTCCAATAATTTCTGTTCCTCACTAAGACATACATATTCTGATATTATTTCAAAATGTTGTTTAAAACTGATAATCCTGTACAATATTTTGTAGCAGTTTCTTCTGGTTTAACTGAAAACATTTATATGAAGTAATTCTTTTAATATATGCTATAACATTACAAATGTTTGGTAACATAAATATTAACAATATATCTTTAGTAAAAAAATATCCTTACATAGAAATATAAGGATATGAATACAACAGTAAAATGTAAAAACGAATAACAGCTAATTCGAAATATTTGATCTAATGTGTTGTGTACCTGGAAAATTTGCTGTAGTCCGCTTGTTTTCAATGGTTACTGACTTGATTCTCTGATGGTATTTTCTTGGATTACCACCCCCTTATGCTTGTTAACTTAGAAGTGTTTATTCCTCCTTGATAATTGATTGCAGACAATTCCAATGGTGTTCAGCCGGTTGGAAGTCCCAAATTATCATTGTATATAACAACAAATTAGAAGTATCAATTACTCGCTAATATCAAATAAAAATATTAAAAATTACTAATTTGAGAAAGGAAGTACATACTCGTATGAGATAGATGTTGTAAATCTAATGTTGTGAGTTTGTGCTTGTGCAGAGGTTGGTTGGTGATACGTGAAAGTTCTGTCCAGGAAATGGATAAGTAACTTGAAAAAATCATTTGACGACCTTCCCGATTGAATTTTTTGCTCAAATTTGGTATGGATGAACCAAACTTGATGAGGAACATACACAAAAAATTTGAGCAAAAAATACCACCGGGAAGACCCCAAATGGAGAAGGCCGGACGGCCCTCCTGTCTCTCTCTCTATATATATTCTATATATATATATATATATATATATATAGAGAGAGAGAGAGAGAGAGAGATGTTCCTGTTTATAATTTCCTGAAAGGAGCGTCGTCTGGCCTCCGCCTTTTGGGGTGGTTCCTGGTGCTATATTTCGCTAAAAAAATTGTGCATGTTTTTCGTTTACCTATACTAAATTTCAGCTAAAAATTCAATCGGGAAGACAATCAAATGATTTTTGTAAGTAAATTCCGCCATTTATATACAATATGCAACACTTTGAACTTCAATATGCAATACAAGTAATGTAAAGATGCACAGTTTGTGACAGTTTGTACGTTAGCATGGAAGGACTAGTTTGTATGTGACCCCCACACGCACACACGCACGCACGCGCGCGCACACACACACATAGAGGAATGTTCATGTCCGAACATTCCCCGTCTGAGCACCGCCAGAACATGGACGTTTGGGCCACTTCCCGGTGAAAATTTTTGATGAAATTTTGTGAGCATGTTCCTCATCAAGTCTAGTTTGTCCATACCAAATTCCAGCTAAAAATGCGATCGGGAAGGCATTGAAATCATTTTTTGAAGTTGACTGCGTCAAAATATACATATAAAAACGCAGTCAACTTCAAAAAATAATTTGAATGCCTTCCCGATCGAATGTTGAGCTGAAATTTGGTATGGATAAACATGCTCAAAAAATTTCATTAAAAAATTCGACCAAGAAGAACCCTAAACGAGGATGTTCGGACGGAGGCTCCTGTCCGAACGTTCGGACCTGATCATTCTTGTCTATATATATATATATATATATAGAGAGAGAGAGAGAGAGAGAGAGAGAGAGAGAGAGAGAGAGAAATATTCAGGTCAGGTATACCTGACCACTGCCCCCGTCCGGCCTCCTCCATTTGGGGGTCTTCCCGATGGTATTTTTTGCTCAAATTTTTTGTGTAGGTTCCTCATTAAGTCTAGTTCATCCATACCACATTTCAGCCAAAAATTCAATCAGGAAGGTCGTCAAATGATTTTTGCAAGTTAACTGGTCCGGAATATGTATTTTCCGGACCAGTTAACTTGCAAAAATCATTTGACGACCTCCCCGATTGAATTTTTGGCTGAAATTTGGTATGGATAAACTAGACTTGATGAGGAACATACACAAAAAATTTTAGCAAAAAATACCACCGGTAAGGCCCCCAAAAGGAGGAGGCCGGACGGAGGCTCCGGTCAGGTATACCTGACCGGAAGATTACTCTCTCTCTCTTTCTCTCTCTCTCTCTCTCTCTCTCTCTCTCTCTCTCTCTCTCTCTCTATATATATATATATATATATATATATATATATATATATGAGGACTGCTCAGGTCCCTCCGGAGGGACGGGAGAGGCCGTCCGAACTTTACTGTTTGGGGCGGTTCCCAGTGGAATTTTTTGATGAAATTTTTTGAGCATGTTCCTCATAAAGTCTAGTTTGTCCATACCAAATTTCAGCTCAAAATTCGACCGGGAAGGCAGTCAAATAAATTCTTGAAACTTACTGCACTTTATATATGCGCAGAATGTGCAGTAAGCTTCAAGAATTTATTTGAATGCCTTCCCGGTCGAATTTTGAGCTGAAATTTGATATGGACAAACTAGACTTGATGAGGAACATGCTCAAAAAATTTCATCAAAAAATTCCACCGGGAACCGCCCCAAACAGTAAAGTTCGGACGGTCCCTCCCGTCCCTCCGGAGGGACCTGATCTTTTCTGTATGTATATATATATCCTCTTCTCCATTTTTACTCCCTCATATAGCCAACCACTACAAGGAATTAGGAGTCCAAAAATTCCACTTTTAGCATTTTGGACTCCTAATCCTACACCACTCCAAAAGGCCTATATATATATATATAGGCCTGGTCCTGATATTTTGAAGACCCGGGACATTTTACAAAAACGGGCCCTTTAATTGTAAATGTGAAAAATAAATTTAATTATAAAAGCAAAGTTCATTACATAAAACTTGGTACATCGTACTCCCTCCGTTCTTTAATAAAAGTCCTTCTTTCCTTTTTGGGACGTTTTTTTTTATTTGTTCTCCTTTCCATTTAAGGAAAGTTTTTACTTTAAATATACCTTTATACCCCCACTTTTATTAGCATCACCCCTTTCTCTTTCCTACTTTTTCATTTACCCACTACTTATTACACCTTTTACACTACCCCTACTATTTTCCTCTTAAAACCCGTGCCAAAGCCTAAGAGGACAGATAATAAAGAACGGAGGGAGTAGTTCATACCAAAAAAAATTACAAAAAACAATTATATCCGGCCTTCTTAGATGCAAAAATAGTCAAGGTCAATTTTTCATCATCTCGTTCTCAATACATATAAGTTCCAAACCAATCAATATTATGTTCACTCAATTCACCCATATTCTACCCATATTCTCATTTATCAGTAGTTCCTTTTGACAAACTTTTCAGTAGTTCCTTTTGAGAATTTATTCAACTAATTTTCTTTTTCTCCTTTATTCACTTACAGAAAAATGTTTTTTTGGAAGCATTGTAGATGAAGACTAGTTACTTCACCCGTGCGTTGCACGGGATTGAAATACTTAAATAATAATTAAGATGCAATAATGTGAAAACTAAAATATCTACTTCTTTTTATATTTATCTTTTTTATCATAGCTAGCTTACCTTTTTATTTTCTTTCTTTTCCTTTTGGTGGTAAGAAGATAATGCTTTGATTCATGTTATCTGACCTCCATTATTTTTTGCGACTAAGGCTTGGATGTTGTTGTAATGTGAAAATTAAAATATATAATTTTATAATAATTCAATTACCGTAATCTTTAAATAAAATTTTAAATAAGATATTATTATAATATTCTCTCTACCCCATTGGACTTTGCTACATTTCTTTTTTTTGTTTGTCCCAAAAACAACTTTGTCTCTTTCTTTTTAAAGTAATGAAATTTGTGACTCAGTTCATCTATCTCTCCTCTGCACAAAACTCAATCACACGGTTTTTATTATTTTAATGTTCCACCCGACATCAACTTGACAAAGTTGAGTGAGATGGAGATAATAGCAATTTGAGAAATAAAATAAGTGGTACAAATCAAAAGTTATATATCATCCAATGACATAGGTGTGCATGTAAGCTCGTGGAACAAACAATAAAAGATGCTACATGATACAAACTTCTATGTATACAATATTCAAGACAAACGTGGCTGTTTGTCTTGTCTAAGTATATCACATATGAAGAATTTCAATTCAGATTAACTTGTTACTCTCAGCCTCTCAGGATCTAGCGATGGCAACAGGCGGATCGGGAACATTTATGCATATAACCGTGTCCGTCTCGTTGGATAATTTCTCCACCTCGTAATCACCTAATTGCCCAATGAGTAATTTGTATTTGAACCATGATCGTCCCAACGGGTATAACCGCGAGTAATCGTTGTATTAAATGAATCATTGATATTTTATTATAAAACCAGTTTTTTTTACTTCGGGCGGGGGGGGTCTGGCCGTCTGGGGGAGGCCACTTAAGATAACCATTGTAAGAAATATTGTTTAAATTCTTCTTAGTCAAATGATACAAAAATATCATAACAAATAAAAAACGGGGGGGGGGGGGGGGGGGGCGAGGCTCCGGGGAAAGTTTAGATGTTGATCAAATGCCTACATTAAAGATGGATGTAAATAATACTATTATGATTAATATCATATTCATAATGTCTGTAAGAAAACCAACTACATATTATTTAGAATATCAAACTCCAAATCCTTGATTACATAAGTAGGACCAACTACATATTATTTAGAATATCAAACTCCAAATCCTTGATTACATAAGTAGGACGAATATGAAACCAAAATTGACAATTAGACATAAACGGCAACTCTAGGTAAGCAATGAACAACCCGATTCTGATCGACCTGCGTGAGAAAACTTGATGCTATTCATATTAGCAATCATAAATTTAATATCTTTCGCAACCAAATCAAAACCCGAAAGATCCTTCCCCTCCTGGATCTCATTGATCACCTGAGCCGCATCAGACTACATCCAGATTTCTCCAACCCAAGGACAACAACCATACCAAAGCTTCACGAACCCCCAACATCTCCGGTTCCCTCGGTGTCAGCCTGCTATTAAACGGCTTGGCTCCTGCTGCCACAAAATCCCCGATCGAGTCACGGATAACCCAGCCAAGCCCACACCGTTCCCTCCCAAGTGCAACATCAGCATTCCGCTTCAAGCAGCCACCAACTGGTCAGATCCAGCGCCCCCTGTCCGGAAAGATAGACCAACCCAATCCCCAATCTGCTGCCAGCTTCTTCCCTGCACCCTTACTGCCACTTGAAGACCCGCATTGGGTAGTTGAGCTGCTTTCCAAGATTCCGGGAAACCAAAAGCCTTTGCTGCCACATTAACTTCCTCTCCAGTCTTCTTGAGCCTCAGTTCCACACCCGTGAATTCCGTTCCTGCCAAATACTCCAACACAAGAGAATGAATAACTATGCACCATGTCTCCTTATTGCGAGTATCAAAGACGGAGTGCAGCCATACCAGTAGGCTTTCCACCCCGCTTGTAGGCACTTCCTGACCCACTTGATTCCAAATTTTCCTAGCTTTCGGGCAGTACACAAATAGATGCAGCAGCGTTTCCTCCTCCCTTTCACAGCCCACACTCGCTCAGACAGTCCACCATTCATCTCCGAAGTTCTGTTCTAACTGCCAAAAAAAGGATTTCACCTTTGGAGGAAGCTCCAACTTCCAGAGTGATGTCCAACCCAAGTTACCCAACCAGCCTTCACCCGATTGCTCTCCCACTATCCTTCGATAGCAGCTTTTAACAGAGAATTGACCCTTCTCGCCCCACCTCCAGCAGAAACAACTGTCTGGTATTTTGCTTTTGCTTAATAAAATACCCTGAGCCAGCAGTCTATCGTCCAGCACGTCATTCAGAATATCCTCATCCGGGGATCCGTCTTCCATCTTTAGAAGGCCTGACACAGTAGCCTGCTCCAACCCTGACCCACTCTTTGTTACCACCCTCGGATTCTCTGCATTAGGCAACCATGGATCCTCCCAGATGTTAATTGGTTGTCCATCCCCTATCCTCCAACAATAACCTTCTTGAATCAACATCTCAGTTTCAAATATACTATGCCACACAATAACATTATGAATAACATTATATTCATAATGTTAATGCATGAAAAATACATAAAAGAAGGAAAGTAAATGATACTAATATATACTCCCTCCGTCCCATTTATATTGTCCCATTTTACCTTTTCGGGAAGTCCCACTTAAATTGTCTCATACCATATTTGGCAAAGTTTGTGTGGCTCTAAATTATTCTTACTTTATTCTTACTTTATCAATTAATATCAACCACACAAACTCACTTTTCTTAATAACCGTGCCACCCTCTTCCGGGACAATATAAATGGGACGGAGGTAGTATATGAGTGTTGTCACTCTAGATAAGAGTGCAGTTGTGATCTTCCAATATTCTCAAGTTTCACATGTCTTAATGTATAACGTACAAGTATGAAAAAATTAAGCTTATATGTGTGTAAAATCAATAACCTTAACATATAAACCCAAGTGCTTTATGGTGAGCTGGAATATTGATGAGTAATTTTATTCATTTGAATATTCATTTCTAATACACAAACCAGTTTTATAGTGAAAATTTAGCTCTAAACAATCATATTACTGTTTTTCTCCAAACGCTCATTGTTCTAAGAGTGTAAGAATGTATATGGATATATATATATATATATATATATATATATATATATATATATATATATATATATGTCTCATTCCTAAGAATGTTGAACAAACTACTACTGCTTGTCATTTCATGAGTGAAACTTAATATACATTAGCCTAAGAGAAGAAATTAAGAAGTAATTTCTAACTGAGAAGGAAATTAGGAAAAGGTTGCAATTTTAATTTATTAACCATTATGGTGGTTAAAGAATTTCACCTTAGAAACTGAACAGTTGAAAAAATAATAAGTTGAATGATTTAAAAAAACTGAGCAAGCTATATACTACAGGTCTTCATTGGGTTTCCCACTAACGTTGTGATAATCCATCACACACCATATCATATTTCTTTGCTCAGGCCACCAAATAAGGTTCATCACTTCTTTCAGTTAGACATTTCACCAAATCCATTAGACTTTGGAAAAGTCCATAGAATAAAATATTATGCATAGTAAAAGATTTAAAAAAGAAACAATGGCATAACTATTACCTCATAGGTTTTATTGGAAAAAAACATGACCGAAATATTTTTCCACAAAAAAGTGACCATCGATCTTCCGGCTCCGCATATCCTTCGCTGAAACTTCCGCATCTTCTTCTCCTTCGCTGCGTAAGGACGCCTGGGCGGAGCAAGACATCCACGCACAGAGCCAGAGCAGCGTCCATCTCCTTCTCCTTCCTCTGCGACTGTCCCCACCGCCCATCGCTTTCGAGGCAGTCGCCCGTCGCCATCGACCGCGTTTGGCATCATCGTCGGCCTTCTGGTTCGCGTCTCCTTTGCCGTTCGTCGCTTAGCCGTCGATCTTCTCCTTCCGTTTCAATCTTCATTCCCACGCAAACATGCTTCTCCTTCAATTTCTTTCCATTGTGAGGGTCGTAGGGGTGATTTTCAGATCTGGATTCGGAATGGGGGTGGTGGCTAGGGTTAGTGGGGACATGGTGGAAGGTCCAGTCATTTGTCGTCACTGGCGGCTGGGGGCTGGGGAGGTGGCCGGTTGTCACAGCTCTGTTGAGCAGGGGAGGGGACGGTCTGAGCTTGGGTTGGGGCGGGGCTGACTCGGGTTGGGGTTGGTGGGGGTTTGGGAGGGGTAGGTGGTGATAACCGGTAGAACCAATGCGGTGGTGGTCTTTGGGCGGTGCCGGCGGCGGTGTCACTATGACTGCCGGTGGTGTCACTATGGCCGCCGGCGGTGTCACTATGAGTGTGTCACTGTGGCTGGAGGTGGTGTCACTGTGAATGAGAACGATGTCACTATGGCCGGAGACGGCGGAGATGTCACTGCAAATGTGTCATTGTGGCCGGCACAATATCACTATGGATATGTCACTATGCATTAGTCACATTTTTGTCTAAATATAAAAGTGGTCACTTTTTGGAAAATTAGCCTTATTTTAGTACTAATAAGGAGAAAACCCCTTTAAAAAATTTACAAACTAAAATATCCCTTATGCAAAAAAAACATTATGCATTGATAAGTTACATAGTTATTATTATAGCTCCCTTACAAATTAATGTTGTAATAATAACATATGCATATCAAAGAATGTGACACGATGACATGCCACATCATTCAGGCTTATATTTAATTTAATATTCATTTGAATTAGTGTTTTACATATCCCCTAAATCGTTTTGGACTGATTTGGTGATACTACCTGCATTAAGGGAATGAATGGGGTATTGTAAAAGAGATTATGGAGATGATACAAACTATATGATGTCATATTCTAGGTGATGATACTACAAATGGTTTAAAACTAATAAACTATAAAGCTGTTGTTCAGGCAAATAAGCGGCGGACGCAGGATTTGCCGATAGCAGGGGCGGCAGTACAAGAATATACATACAAATACATATACATTAAAAATTTCGGGGTAAATATACCTAGAATTTTTTTTCGGCGGAGGGGCGGCAGCCCCCCATAGCCCCCATGTGTGTCCGCCCCTGCAGGCAATCCAACCCAAAATTTTGATAAACTCACTCTAACCGGTGGCCTGTTAAACGTTCCACTTAGAACTTGTTAGATTTTTTAGCAAGTGCATTTAGTCTATCATTTATGCCCTCAAAATCTTAGTCCAAGAAGATAACAGGAGAATTGAATAAAAACTCATTTTTTTATAGTATCTTATCCATAAGATACTATGGATCATTATGAGTCATCCGGAAACAGTCTCTCTGTGATTTAGTATAGGGGTAAGACTGCGTACATCCGACCCCCCTTACCCCACCGTGGGAGCCTTTGCGGCACTGGGGTAAATGAAAATGATAAACAAATGTATCTTATCCATAGAAGAGAAGAATTAAAATCATTAATAACACATTTTTCTTTTCTTTTTTTATAATTTGATATCTTCGACTATAAGTCATTAAAATATTGGTAGTTTAGTTGCAATAGGTTAATAAGGAGATATACACTCATTGTCTATTACAAATTTAGTCATTAAAATCCGTCAGTTTATTTGCAATATGATAATAAGCAGGTACTTGACTCCTAATTCAAACTTTTGGTGCTATTTGGTCTACACTCTACACTCATAGTTATGTAGGTTTCGAGTTTCAATAACAGCAAAATCTAGGCTATAAGATGTAAACTAAACTTAGACAAATAAGCCAATTTATTTGAAGAATCAGAGACTCGATAATCAGTATAATTTAATTAACTTTACTGAATGTCTACCGGATTAAATTATAGTTAGCTTTATAGAAATCTCAATCTATTTAAAAGAATTTGAACAATGCTTGTGTTGATCAAAGATATATATATATATATATATATAGAGAGAGAGAGAGAGAGAGAGCTCTTCTCATCAGGCCGGCCTGACGGGCTGCCCCGTCCGGCCGAGCCCGTTTGGGCATCTTCCCGGTGGAATTTTTTGATGAAATTTTTTGAGCATGTTCCTCATCAAGTCTAGTTTGTCCATACCAAATTTCAGCTCAAAATTCGATCGGGAAGGTCGTCAAATGATTTTTTCAAGTTAACTGGTCCGGAATATGTATTTTCCGGACCAGTTAACTTGCAAAAATCATTTGACGACCTTCCCGATCGAATTTTGAGCTGAAATTTGGTATGGACAAACTAGACTTGATGAGGAACATGCTCAAAAAATTTCATCAAAAAATTCCACCGGGAAAGTGCCCAAACGGGCTCGGCCGGACGGAGCAGTCCGTCAGGCCGGCCTGATGAGATGATTTCTCTATATATATATATATATACATATATATATATATATATATATATATGTATATATATGTATATATATATACTGTTTGAGTTCAATAATAATTTGAACTAAAGAAGCTAAGTTTAGATAAATACAATGCATTTCATTCAAGTTTAAAAATCATACTTTTCTTCATTTCTAACTTACAGAAAATTCAAGTGTTGATCAAAGATATATACTGTTTGAGTTTAATGATAATAACATGGATACTGCATAGAATTTTAAAGCATACCACTTGGATGTACTTATAGCACACCATAGAGTAAAGCTTGTGCTTCCTAAATAGTTCACAGCAATCCAGGTGAAGTAATCTGAATATCAAAGGCAACAAAACAAAAGAAACGTCAAAATAAGCACTGGCAATGATCTGTCGGTTTATCAAAGCACTGGCAATATCAAAGCAAATAATTTGCCAATGGTTTATCTGTTTTCAACATCCCGTTCACAATTACCACTCCAAGCTAAAAATATCTGCATTTTAAACCAAAATGATATTCACTATTTTACAGGTAGGAATAAAAAAATAAAGATGACTTCCATTTTTTTGGTTGTATAAAGATAACTTTCATTATAAACATGTAAAATGGCTTGATATATGAAATAATGCGACCTAACTATAAAAAACAGTCCAAACTGAATTTAGATCTTAAAACTTCGCCTTTGTGTGCAATGATGTTATAATTGTGTTAGCAATACTGAAAGCTTGAAATGATTTTTTTTCTGAGCACATAATTCTGTAGGTGCATTTTAGTGATTCCATTTTGTGACAGGGAGTTTAAAATTGAGCACGCTAGAGAATAGCCCTCAATTCAAAGTGACTTAAAGTATTGAGACTCGTTAGATCTAAATATCATTCGAATCAGAAAGAGGTCAGGTCAACTATCATTTTTCTAAGATCTTTTGGACTCTCATTCCTCTTCCAGGGTTTACACATTCCATATTTTGTATGACATCTTATTAGAGGGCCACTATTAGCTGTTTTATGAACAGTGGCCCTTCTCTTGACTTACTATGAAAAGAAAATTGCAGAAGTGAATATAGAGTTTTCCTAAAATTTGAAAAGAGAAAGTAAAAACTTCACTCCAATGAAAACCAGAAAATAAACAATGCCACCTAATCATTCCATTAATGTAGATTTTCATATACTTATCTTTTTCGGGCTCTTCCTGAGATCCCTACATACGCTACACAACAATAAAATCTTTACCATTAACAACTATAGAAACATAATTTTATTTCCATAAACAGTATGTTATTACTCATTAATAGAAGCCAATATGAACTGTTTTATGAACAATGGCCCTTCTCTTCACTTATTCTGAAAAGAAAATTGCAAAAGTAAATAGAGAGTTTTACTGAAAATCTGAAAAACAAAGAAACTATGTCACTTTTAAAAAAGAAGTTTCCTAATTAAATTTGAAATTTCATTAGAAAAGTGGTGCTCCAAGGGATATTTTTAGTATAAACTATGTCATTGTGAAATCAAATTCATGCTCAATTGAAAAGTAAGTATACATTTAAGAACCGGATCATGCTCTCATGGCCCACAGGTACAATTGAACTGTTTTCTAGTATGGCCTAAACTGATACAAAATAGTGGTCTCAATGGAAGAAACATACCACATTTTGTAATGTATCTTATTAGAGGGCCACTGTGAATTGTTTTATGAACAATGGCCCTTCTCTTCACTTATTATGAAAAGAAATTTGCAAAAGTAAATAGAGAATTTTCAGTTTTAGTGAAAAACAAAGAAATTATGTCACTTTTAAGTAAAACGTTTCCTGAGTAATAAATACCTATCAATAAGAAAGAGGAATGTACACCTTATATTTAAAAAGCACAATCATTTTTCATCGTTTGAGTATTCAACTTAAGGTTACTCAGTAATAGTGTCCAACTCAGTAATTAAAAAACATAAAAAATGCACCTCAATTGGTCATTCATTCAGAAAACATTCTAGAACACATTAAAAGAACATTAAAATACATCTCACATTAAAGCATTAAACTAATGTGAAAATCTCAAAATAAAGATGTGTAACTCCACTGACAATCTGCTACAAAATTCAAAATGCCACATAATCATTCTATTAATGTAGAATCTCAAATACCTATCTTTTTTGGGCTCTTCCTGAGATCCTTGCACAAGCTACACAACAATAAAAGCTTTACATCAGCAACTATTGAAACATAAGTATACTCATAAATAGTATACCATTACTCATTAATAGAAGCCGATATCAACTATTTTATGAACAATGAGTCTTCTCTTCACTTATAAACAAGGTTTGAAATTGCGTATTGCGTTGTCATGGCATTTTTTCAGAATTGCATATTGCGTAAGCCTCATTGCGCAATGAGGCGTATGCATGAGGCGTAATATACACACACAAACACACAAATATATATACATATGTGTGTGTGTGTAAACACAATAAAAAATAAAATAACTTACTCACCATAAGTTATCAAATGTCATATTAAAACAAATTATAATGAGACCATAATCCTAGCAAAGAAAAATGTTTAAAGTACCACAAGATAGGAAACATTCTTGAACTGCTATCATAACAAAATCCCTAACATACTAAAATTTTAAGTTTATTAGATTGATGGCGGCAAAATCAAATCATCATTATCTAGTAGTTTTAAATAGGGATCACAATCGTAGAATATGCTTATTATAAAAGTTAAGAAGTGGGTCGATTGAGCCCAAATAATACCCTTACACCCTAACCTACCATTGCGTACGCCTTATTGCGTATGTGATATGGCGTAAGTCTCACCGCAATATTGCATACGCCACACTCCCAACGCAATATGCAATGCCTTTTATGCCATAGTTCAAGAATTAGCTGAGGCGCGCCATGAGGCGCAATTGCATTGCGCAATTACAAACAATGCTTATAAAAGCAACACCTAGGCAATAAAACAATAAAAAAAGACTAAAGTAAACTCTAATAGCATATTTTTAACCGTTCTTCCCAATATATGTAGTCGTGAATCAACAATGACTGGATTTGAAATTTCATTAGAAAATTGGTGCTCCAAGGGAAATTTTTGATATAAAACATGTTATTGTGAAATCAAATTCATGCTCAATTGAAAAAGTAAAAATTTAAGAACTGGATCATGCTCAATTGGTTAAAACCTAGTGAAAATTTTGGTTTAAATCATGTACCCTTAATAGGTCAGATTAGCTTGAAATTGAGCCCATTAGATGCAGTCCAAACCAAAAAAATAAAATCAGCACCTAGGCATTATTCATGTAGTATATAATCTCATCATCATCGTTGTGTAATACAAATAAATATAAGAAAGTATAACAAAGCAAAAGTTACATACATTGGCATATCGAATAAGATAATCACAACTCACAAGTAATCAAAATGGTGCGGATGAGCTTATCCTAATGGTTTCGGAGCACATTTAATTTATTCCACTTCTCTTTAAATCACATCTGGGAGGTGGCTAATCCAGGAGAACTGGTGTAGCAGAAGGTGGGCTGAAGGTATTTCGGCCATCTAACCCATCTTAGAGGTAAATTGGGGCTGAGGTTATAATACAAATTCGAATGGAAAACTTAGCACGGAGAAGAAGACCGGATTCTCTTTGAGAGGGAGCTACAAAGGACTGAGGTGCGGAGTCTTGACTGCTTCAAAAGACGGGGCTGATTTCGGCTAAGAGAGAGGCAGACGAAGCTTCTCGAGGTCTTAAATTCCAGCAAGGATCGCCGATGGATAAGATGCATTGGTCTCTGAGTTACAGAGGCCTGACTCAAAGCGAGGGTGATTTCATCTTCCATCAGAAGGTGAGAAGAAATCTAAGAAAATGCCAGAAGAGATTTCTGGTGAGACAATACAAACGGCGAGGGTGTGATACTGAGGTTTGAGGTTTCAAACGGTGAGAAGCTTAGAAGGTGATAAGGGCAACTCCAATGCTAGGTCATCAATTGCACTTTACTTTACCAAATCTATTCTCCAATGCAAATATAAATGGACCTCCAAATCTGATGTGGCAATAACAAGGGTCCAGCACTAGTTCTACATATGCACCTTCGGTCCGACTTTCTGAGTTCTGACAACAAAAGAATTAGTTTGCTTCTAGTGCATGAACATTTGCTTTTCTCTTCCATCAATTATCTTTTTTATTTATTTATTTATTGCTGCTTGCTGCATTGGAGTACAAACTCAATAGACTAGGGTCCTTTTGTTATTTTTTGATCTAGACCTTCTCCATTTCATTGCCACATCAGCACCAATGCACAACACCATTGGAGATGCTCTAAGAGCATCTCCAACCAAGGTGGATTGCATCTCCACCTCATCAAATACACTCCACTTTACTAATTGTGCTCTCCAATGCAACAAAAAATAGAAAAGGTCAAGCTTAGTTGGCAAAGGAGAGAGAAGGCCAAGGTCTTGCACAAGGTCCATCTCTAGACCTTGGGTCTCACCTCACCAACTTAAAAAGCAATGATTCTTTTCTATTTTGCTTTGTGATTTCATCCGCATTAGAGTAGATAAAAAAGTAGACCCTTCCAATTTGTTTGTTTTCCCTTCCATCCTCAATGGACCCTTTACATTTGGATGACACATCACCTCCAATGCACCCTTGGGTTGGAGATGCTCTAAGAGATTCAT